GAGGGGGGGGTAGGGGAGAGAGAGAGAGACGTCACGATCACTCACAGATTGGGGTGGAGCATCTTGAGAGCGGCGTGCCTCTCAAAGCTCTCTATCGTCACCGCGATGGGCAGGCCGGGGATCCAGCAGTTGTCTCTCTGGCTGGTGCTGAAGGCCACCGGAGTCCGGAACCGGGAGGCGAAAGGGATGAGCGTCTGATCGTTGCCATCGCCTGAGAAAATCGTAGAAAAAATAAAGTTCACTTATTTGTTTGTTCTTTTGAGTAAAGAGAAGCGCGTCGATACACTAAGGGTCATTTAATAATGAGGAAAAAGTAAGACAGGCAGACAGAAACAACAGAGGGAAAGTAATGAAGTAGGACTTAAAAGTGGCACCCGCTAACAACCCATTAAACGTGTTTGGCCTAAGTTTCGTTTCAGTAAGCGTTCTTCGGCACTTGAAACACGATCAGGTCCAAAGATTAAAGGTGTTACAAGTTACAAAGGGTGAGCATAAAAACAAAACAAGGAGGAGAGATAATGACAAGTGATGTCTGATAGGGGAAAAAAGAGAGCAAACCACACTAGAATAGCCGCCAACCAACTACTAAAATAATGTTTGCAGACAATGTTGGTCAGTTTGAGGAAAGAAAAGCACGCCATCATGAAAACGGTCTTTCATTCCGTCTTTTTAGTTTTAGTAAGAGTTTTACGGCACTTGCAACACAATACGGTCATAGAAAGAAGTGTCGAAGACTAGAAGTGTTTCAAGGGAGTAAAAAGCACCCAAAAAAAAGAAAGAGGAGAGATAAAGACGATAGATGTTGATAGGAAAGAAGAAGCAAACCACATCAGAGCACCCTCCAACCACCCACTTTCAGGGAGTCGAAAGAGCAAATCAAGACTGAGAAACAAACACCAGTGGAAACAAAAGGATTTGACCTGTTTGAGGCACCCTCTCTAGCCATGTCCTGCTGAAGACAGTGTGAAGTCAGGAAAACTACACTGGGATAAAACATAAAACAGTGGGGAGTTTTTCGTAACTTCAGTCAGTACTCACAAAAAATGAGTCTGACCCCCCCCCC